CAAGTTCCTCTGTTTTGCTGTGGAGTTGCTCCTCCAGAGCAGCGATCTGTTGTTTCAGTGATGTGATCCTGCTAGGTTCTACCGTGTCACAAAGCAAAGGTTCACGATCTAAGTTTTCCTCCTTTGCTCTTGTCCAAATGCTGCTAACATCAGCCTTCTCTGGCACACTTGGCATGATCTCATGTATGTTTAATTCTATTTCTTCATGGTTCTCATTTTCATGCATGAGCTTGGGGGCATTTAGTGAGATAGAGTCATCCTGGACTAATTCAGGACATGTATTTGTCTCTGGTGCATAGCATTCCTCTCCTCCACTCTCAGTAACCAGGAGCAGCTCTTGAGCTGTGGAAGGCTGGCTTTGACGTGGAGATTGGATTTGCATGCTCTCCTTAGGAAGCCCTGCTGGCTGGCGATCCAGCTCTGGGATGGCTTTCCCTTGTGGTCCCGGAGCCTGCTCATTTTTCTGGGACACCTTTGTGATTTGCTCTTGCACATTCCTTGGCTCTGTGGGAAAATTTACTGTGAGACTATCAGAATAGTAGGAATCCAGTGACTCCTTTGCAGGGTTAAAGAGAATTTCTGTGGAGCTCTCTGCCTCAGGAGCCTGAGAAAGTGCTGCGAGATGAGAGCACTCATTTTCCTCTTCTGAACTTTTACTTGGTAGCAGTTTGGCTGGCATACTGGATGCCCTTAACAGCTGTGGCCTCCCTCTACAGCTGCCAGACTCCTCTTCATGGTGGATGATCTCTCTTTGTCTAACTGTCTCTGCTAAAAGGGCCTTTTTTCTGTAACTTAGCTCCTCTGCCGTTGAAGGTGATGGTGAGTCATAAGACGTGATAAGACAGGTGGTGTCTTCTGCTGGTAGCGATGCCTTCCTCTGTGCAAACGAACAGGTTGCAGTCCAGCTCTTATGCGGGGAGGAAGCACATACCCGGGATCCATTCGCAGGCAGGCTGAAATTCCGAGGCAGTGTGCTGAACTTCGGCTGCTTGGCCTTCCGGTGAATGTGAACCCTTTTAATGGTGTTTCCTTTTTCAATGTCATCCACATATTTAAGAAAGTCCAGGTCTAAATGGAAGCCATATGGTGTTTCCACAGAATAAGGGAGACTTCTGGGTTGATCTCTGTCCTCAGCAGGCTTTGATGGCTGATCGCCAGCTAAAATGAAATTAGACATTAAATTTAAATAGATAAATAATATTTAAAAAAAATCCAGCCATCCTTGTGTAACCCACACACCTAGTGGGTGTGGTTCACTGTCCCATGTAGTGTCACTTAGATCACTTACAGCAGAAAGATAAGAACAAGGTCACTCTACAGCTTAAGCTGAGAGCCAGCTGGCTTTATAGCTCAAGCTGTAGAACAGGGCTACTCAACATGTAGCCTGCGGGCCGCATGCGTGGTTTGGGTTTACGTGGGGCTCAACACGCGGCCTGTGGGTGGGATCCTTTGAACATGGCCTCCACGGGGAACATGCTCCACAGTGGTGAGGCATCTCCCAGGCAGGGTGAGCATTGAAAGATGCAAGTGCACAGGCTGGTTGGAACAGACAATTTTAGAGTGTCAACGTTTCTAGCCCCCAGGGAGGAGGTGCCGGGAGTGCCTGGGCATTGTGGGAAGTGCTTTGTAGTCATGCTTATTAGTGTGAAAGAAGCTATTTGCATATATTTGCATATATTTTTGCATGTATATGCACCCACACTTAAGTTGCAGCCCTCAGCATGTGCTGTGCGGGGGCTTCCAAAGTTGAGTAGCCCTGCTGTAGAGGCTCCTACACTAAGCTCCAGAGGTCCCAGGTGGAAGTGGGCCCTCTGGAGCTTAGTGCAGGAGCCTCTACAGCTTGAGTGATAAAGCCAGCTGGCTCTCAGGTTAGGCTGTAGAGCTCACTCATTCTTGCAATGTGTGGGCATTGATCTTGTCCTCTGGGGTAAGTTAGAGCAGTCCAAAGGCTGTTCTAATTTTCAGCATCTACCAATAACCTCAAAGCACCAATTACAGCAGCTGCCAGTGATCCCTGGGACCCAGGGAAGACTCCCTCTTCTTCACAGTGCTGTGATGATCAGAGGGGGGTAGGTTGGTATAGAAGCCACGGAGCCCTTTGCCACTGGAACATGACCCAACCCACCATGCTACAATGATCCTCCTGTGCGATGTAAAGCTGCCTTCAGGGTTGCTTTGTGCTGGTAACACAGCAAAGGCAGCTGCAGCCCAGCTAAGAATCTGGGCCCTCATCGGTATGCTGAAATGCCGACGATGTTGTGAGGCTGCCTTCCTAAATCATTATGCAGTTAGCCTGCCTCTGCAAGGGAGAAGGAATGATTTGCAGTTTGTCATTTGTAAGCTAATGTCGAGTCTGATTAGAGAGAGAGCCACAGAGCAACACATGCAAATGTATAATCTTGTTTTCTGGAGCTGACTCATGTAATTGTTGCACTGGAATTTGCTAAATCATTATTTTAATTGCCAATTATGTAAATTGCAGGTTTGGTAGGCAGAGCTACAAATTTATCTAAGTATTAAAAAGTTGCCTGATGCATAATAAATCCTAATTCTAATGTATAAGGAATCCAGCTAGAAACCAGACAGTGGAAACTATCCAGGACAGTTACATTTGGGGGCAGTTGCAGATGAGGCAGAGACACATTGCATGGCCCAGTTGTCACTCTGGTTGTCCTGTGAACATAAAGAATATCTCTAAAAGGCAGGGTTGACATTTTCAGTAGTGACTGGTGATCTGGGGTGTCTCACAGTTTGGGGGTCCAACTTGAGGCACCTTAAAGACATTCCAAATTAGGCCCTGAAAAAATGAGGCATCCAGAATCACTACTTGCTTTTGAAAACCTTGGCCAAGAGCCCTAGGCTTGTACAGCACAAGGGGTTGGCCCAGATAGGGCTAACCTGTACAGCTTCATGTAGTCATATCTGTAAATCTGTGTAGAGCAGTGGTGGGCAAGACCGGGTCCACGCTGGATCTGGCCCACCAAGCCATTTGATACAGCCTGCCGCTCCCCTGCCCCCAGGCCATTCAAGGCCTGGGGATGGGGGCAGTGCACAAAGTCTCCTCCCCTCACCAGGGGCATGTGGCACTAGAGGGAACTCCCAGCTGTTCAAAATGGCTGGTGGGTCACTCTAGCTGCGTGCCCTTGGCAGGGCGAGTCAACAAGGGCGAGAGACTTTGTGCATTCCCCCACCCCTCAGGCTCTGATTGGCATGGGGGTGGGAAGAGCATACGAAGTCTCCTCCTTCCTGCTGTTCAAAATGGCTGACAGTTCTCTAGGCACCATGTGCCCCTCGCACATGCTTTGTGCACTTCCCCACCCCTAGGCCAATCAGGCCTGGGGGAGCAGGCGAAGTATCTCCCCCCACCAGGAGGCCTGCAGGATGCATTTATAGGGAACAGCCCCCTTCTGCCTAAGGCCCTGCCCCTTCCACCTGAGGCCCCACCCCTTTGAGGCAGCCCACCACCACCTCCAAAATTCATGAAGTTGCCTCCCCTTCAAAAATTATTGCCCACCCTGGTGCAGAGCCACAAAACCCTTTCCAATGCCTATGGATGTTCTTCCAAGAGTACGTCTTTAATTCTTCAGGTCAAGAAAATCCAGCATATTGGACTGTAGTAAGTATATAACAGCTAATTTGTTCCACATGTTATCAAATATGCAGACCTATAATAGTTAATACAGAACATTACGGTGAATATAAGCAACTCCCATGAAAGGAGAAGCTAAAATCACACTTTTCCATTGTCTCTCCTAATGATGGACATCTTTCATCTTTGACCTCTGCTCCATCAGATCTGGTGTGCTCTCATTTTTATGGCTGTAAGTCATTTTACTTTTCTGAAATGTTTTGTACACAGTGTAACTTAATTGTGCGTTTCCTTAAAGAATCTTACATTAGTTTAAACTTCCTGTACTGACGATGCAACATTGTCCTTCATTCTATTTGTTTTAGCATTGTATCCTATTTAAGGTTCTTGGAAAGCTGATAGAAAGGCTAGAATTAATAATAAATGTCATGGCCTGCAAAATTCATAGGCCCAAAATTTCAATCTAGGATGTCTAAAGTTAAGCACCTAAATCCAAACTGAGGAAAGAAAATAAGTGGCCTGATTTTCAGATGTGAATCCATGAAGTCATGATGAGTTATGACTCAAGCTCTCTGAAAATCAGGCTACTAATTTAAACATTGATACCAGTGCCTAACAGTTGTCACGAAAGACTGAAAATGGTTGAACTGCCATTGTGAAGCAGTCTTGCAGGGACTGGTGAGACTTTGGCATAGGTATAGACTCTTTCATCTCAAACATTTCCCAAGATCCTTACAAACAGTACCACTGAACTGCAGCCACCTCTGGGGAGGAAACCAAGATACTGAAAATAGTGGGATGAGGAAGGAAAAATTAGTGTAAAGTGATGCCAAGGCAAAGTCCACTTTTCTTTTGAAAAGCAGAAGGGGATTGTTAGCGTCCATAGAATATACATGACTTTTGTCTTTAAGATCTTATCTGAAAGCCCCATATGCAGTGCTTGAAACTCCACTGTAAACAATAGAACTATAATTGCAAATCAGAGCAAGATGAGAGTGCAGCATGTCTTGAACTATGCACAAACCTTGCATATTTTCATTGTTGGAAAACATCTCCATGCAGTTGGAATAGCATGAATTATTTACTGTTTACACAAAATACCTTGGTTTTATTTTGTTTAAACCACAAATGAGTTCTGTTCAATAGCGTTTAAATAAAAACAAAACCTCCATACCATCTGCTTTCTCCATAATGTGGAATGTGGTCCAGGCTGTCAGTTAAACATCATCCAACGAGGTGCCTAAAAATTTAAAAGGACATTTAGACAAGGTCTCGGGTGTTTATTTCAAAGCCTAAATACATCCTAGCCCATCCATGTTCAAGGTCTTCCATCTAGCTGTAGGAAATTCCTCTGTGAGCCAGAATGGCCACTGCTGAACAGATATTTTTTAAAATCATTGTTTTTGGTACAACAAAAGTGAGGTCTTTCAGGAAGCATAGTTAATGTTAGTTAATGTTGTTGCAGTACTTTGCCTCTTGCTTCAAGTATGCTGCAGCCAGAAAATGTACAAAAAACATTTTCAAGAATATTTAAATCAATATTTTCTCTTCTAGTGGTAACAAATCCTGCTTCCTAGACGTGTCACAATGAGATGCTGCTTTAATTAGCTGATAGCCCGGGATCTGTAGTAGATGGTATCTGAACTCTTTACTCCTCCCAAAAATATTGATTACTACGAGATCTAGTCTGTAATTTATATACTGTGATATTTCATCTTCTAGTGAAAAGAGCAAGGGGTATAGACTACATATAGGAGTGGTTTGTTTGGCATTTTTTTACTTAAAGCAGCCAAAGATCCAAAACCGAAACTAAATATCTGAAAACTAGTCTCATTATTTCAGTGTGTGGTCATATTAAAATTACCCGTCAGCTAAATGGCTAAAACATAGTCATATTTCTTGAACATATAACTTTGTCTCACACTCAGATTTGTCATAGTCTGGAACATGATCATTATCATCCTTCACCACCTCCCCCCATCATCTCCTGCTTCCGGGTGATAGGGTATAGGACCCCCTGGGTCTCATGAGGACTGTGGGTGTTGGGAATGGGGACACCCAAGCCAAATCTTATGTGAAGCTCCTACTTCTTATATGCCAGGTGGCTGGATTCTAAAGAAGTCAAGGCAACTGGAACTCAGGCAACCAAGCCCTCAAAGGTATATAACAAACAGGAAAAAGGTCAGAATAGGAAGATAATTTCCCAGTTTATAGGAGGAGTCCCTCTTGTTGTCTGAGGTCTGGGACTGTGCTAGAACTACTGGAGTGCAGCTGATGCACGAGGTCTCCAATGGGGTTGAAGGTTTGAAAAGCCCTGACCTCAATTCTCATTCTGACCAATGTGGAAAAACTCTGGTTTCAGCCTACTCCCTCTGGCTCCATCCCTCTATGCAGGGAGGCTTCTTCCCTCCCCAAGCTCTCTACAGCAGGCAGTCCCCTCAGCATGCCCAAAACATCTGGGGCTGCACTCTTTTAACACTCTGATCTGTCATCCATGCAGGGGCTCAAGAAAGCAGAAAAAAGGGTAATGAATTGCAAGGTCACAAGAGCCAGAAGGAAAGGGGTACATAACACCGTAGAGCTGAACTACTGGGGAAATTCCTCCAGACCCCAGCATGCAGCAGACTGACGTATGTGGGAGAGCAAAGAACTACCCAGGAATGTCCAATTTCAGAAGATGCTGAAGGCACAGATTCATTCAATGCACACACTAGTCTACACCAAGTGGGGGGAGGGGGCGGGGACAAATGGCAGATCACAAGAGCCCTGCACGGTACAAAATCCATACCCACATCTGTATACACAAAAAATGAGCCACAGAGATCCACCTCTACAGCCATGGATATGGATACCTGTGGATATCCACAGATTTGAAGGGCTCTACAGGTAACTATTTAAGAACCATCCTCATCTGGTTAATCTTACTAGCAGAAGTGGGGGAGTTCCCTGATAATTGTTTTCCATTTCTACTGCTGCCCTCTTCAGCACCATTGCCCAAGTAGGTCCTGCCTCATTTCCCCCTCTTGCCTTCCAGCTCCTGTCACTGGGGCTGCTGCAGTTCCTTACTCTGTGGCAGACTCCAGCATGCTTAGAATCCCATTGTCACCTGCTCAAACATACAAACAAGTGCAGTCAACTTAAACCCATTTCAAGCCAGACTTGCTGACTATCCGTTCATGCAGGAGTCATTTCAAATTGCTCTCCTTGATTCAGATACAAAGCCCCTTGCTCACCTTGTAACTCTTAGGATATGTCTACACTAAGAGTTTTGCTGCAAGAGCTTATGCAAATGAAATTCCCTTCTGATCTGTCCTTCTTTTTACACAAAAACCCCTGTTCCTGCAAGATCGGTATACCTCCTTTTTGGGGCATTAGGATCTTGTGCACACTGCTTGGTTTTGCTCAAACCAAGCTACGAATACATTATGCAAATGAAGCACAACGATATGCTAATCAGCACTTCATTTGCATAGGTTCTTGGGGCAAAACTCATAGTGTAGACGTAGCCTAAATGTTTCACATCAGAAAGGACTTCAGGTTTTGGCCCATAGACCTAAAACCCTCCAGGGAGTTCTTCCAACCAAATTCATTGGCCCTTATCCCTCCTTGTGTCAGTCATTCCGCTTAATCTAATATTGGTCTCTTCTCTGCCGCCCCAACACAATCTTATCTTCTCCATAGGCTTCCTGTGTCTGTCCACTTCATGTAAATGCTCAACTAAAACCATAGCTTGTTTTAATTTTCCATTCTTTGTTCCTTAATTGCCTCTCTTCTTGTAAGATTGGTTTGAATTTTAATCTAGTTCATTCTTGTGTTAATTGTTAGAAAAGCTGCCCAAAGAATGGGACAGATGCAGCTGGTATGTATATTTTAAAACATTGAAATGAAATGTGGAGATTTTAGAGCTAGTAAATAAAGACACTAGAGAAAATGAGATCAAACAATGATGTTACCTATTTTAAAGCATGAAAATATTTTTGTGAACCCACAGCTAACTGGCAAGAAATGTATTGCCGCCTTAAACAGGGGTCACCTCTGCCTCTGGGTGTAAGGGAGTCTTCTGAAGGACATTACTATAAAGAGAACATTAATATGATCCCAAAGTTGCTACCTTATACACAATTATAAACACGGATAGTAACACGAACACCTGGCAGACAAGTAATTTGCTTACCCAGCTTAATGCTACAGAAGCAGACAGAACCACATGTTTATGATAGATTTCAATACACTCCTAATGTATCCCCAGGCTAGCTCCATTTTGTATATAAAAGGCAGTTTCAGTTTCTCCAGCTTTTCTTCACAAAATTAACATTAATCACTTTCTCCAATGTTTTTATTTTACTTTTCCAATTACAGTTAGTTGCACAGTGATTATGGATTCCAGTCACAATCTGGCCAGTTATATTTCACTCTTTTAGGTCATTTACAAGAAAGAAATCCAATCAACAGGAGGCTTTAATATCTAGATAATTACATTAATTGATTCATTTATGACTTGGCTTAGTTCCAACTTTTCAGTCATAAAGTTAACATTATTACTTTTCTCTTTTGACAAATCTATTTCAAAATCACCTCATAAAATGACTTCTGCATATACTCTACCAGCTTGTAGATGTACTTCAAGTGTCTCCAGTTAGTTTGTACATGGTTCTGATGGCTAACTGCCAAAAATATGGGTCCTATTACCCCTAATAGCCAAACCAATATTCTTTCATGACCGGCTACAATGAAAACTAGATCACAGAGAAGAATTTCATCAGAATACATGGACAAATTATCCTGTCATCACTCGTAAGAGTTTCATACAATCAAATTTGAGTCTTCATTTTTTTAACAATAAACCAAATAAGACAACCTCAAAATGATATTTAATTTCTACTGAAGAAGGAACCAAATCCCAGCCAGGATGATAAAGTACTAGGTTTCACCACAGCCAGCATTGTCTCTGAGGGGAGAATATGGAATGAAACATGACTCCCACACACCACTTTGATCCCATACAAAACTTTAGAGAAGCCTGAGTGTGAGGAGAAAAAGTTGCCAGCTGGCAGGTTAAATTTTCAGATGTGCATTAGTGTTCTAGACTGAGTGCCTGCCCAGCTATGGACAGTTTCATAGATCACATTCTGCAGACATATCACACATATGATATGTGTGATATCTATGAATCTTGTCTGACACTAATATAATTCTGCTGGCTGCAGAAGAGCTATTTCTGATTACACACCGGTGCAAGAGGAGGGCCACTTAGATTATGTCTACACTGCCTCTTTTTTGCGGAAGAGGCAATGCAAATGAAGCACTCATTAGCAACTTCTTGCGCTTCATTTGCATAATCTCTGCCCAGTGATTTTTGCACAAAAACAAGCAGTGTAGATGGGTCCATTTTGCGCAAAAAAAACCTTTTGCGCAAGATCTGTATACCTCCTTTTTTGAGGCATAAGGATCTTGTTCAAAAGGGGTTTTTTGCGCAAAATAGATTGTCTACAGTGCTAGTTTTCTGCGCAAAAACCTCTCGTGCAAAAAAGCCTCGGGCAGAGATTATGCAAATGATGCATGAGAAGTTGCTAATGAGCGCTTCATTTGCATTGCCTCTTCTGCAAAAAAGAGGCAGTAAAGACATAGCCTGGAGAGTGACAACCCTATCCCTTGTCTCCTACTGCAACTTTTTGCTAATTTGCAGTGGATTCTTGTGTCCTAGAAGCAGGAATAAGCCCAATAACTCTTTTCAGATATGCCACTGAACAGCCTTCAGCTTGGTAATGCCCTTCAGCTACTACCAACTTGGGACCGATTTGAACTAATGCCTTATTTCTGTATCCCATTGTTATTCTCTCAATCAGCTAGTCCCACAAAGAAATTTCTAAGATTCTGTAAGGTTTTCTTCCCCTTTGGTAAATCAAACACAGTCATTATGATCCTTTCATATGCATTGACAGAAAACACATGCTTATTAAACTGACTCTTTCTCGGGTTTTACTATTTGTAGACTTTCCCTCTATCACACAATAATGGAATTCTAATCAATTGTAATCCCCAAGCAGACAGCATCTTTGATATTTAATTTTACTACAAAGAATAGCGTTGAGGAGGATGAGCTCATATGTACATTTTAAAATACCTCTCATGAGGCAAGAGCGCATAGAGAAATAAAAATAAAAAGTCAAATATTTAACATAGAAACTTAATTACCCTCATTCCCCATTTGCAAGGACAATGTACTGTCTTTTTAAAAAT